TATTTACTGTATTATGTCATATTAACTATATGTAAGCTCTATATGCTGAAAATGGCTAACAAAAAAAAAGATTGAGATATTACGCGTAAGATCTAAACTAAAGAACTTTATTATACTGTTTAACATGCTCTATCTGTTTTAACTTTATGCGATAAATTCTTGTACAGTATGTAATTATTGGTTTGTAAACTTTTTTAAGCGAAGTTTTCTTCATTTTTTAGTATTAAAATCCTATGAACCCGGGTGTCAACCCAGGTACAACGGGTAATCTTTGTATCTGGGTTACCTGCAAGTCACCCGACGGTCACCCGGGTCGAAACACTAGTTGCACTATTCTTTCTCATTTACATGAATATGGATACCTTGGAGAAATTGTTAATGGAGCATATTTTTTAACTTAAATATACAAGTTGCTGGCAATTTCATACCATCTGCTAGGCAACTTAAGATCATAGTAAAGTTTGATTTTTCATGCCCAGTAGTTCTTATACTAACAGTTTTAGCACTATATTTATCTATAGTAATAGCATTTGGCAAGTCAAAAGCAACAGGTGTCTTATCCATATTACCAATTAATCTAAATGGGTAATTATTTTCATATTGTTTAAGTGCAATATAACTCAAGAATCATTGTTGTTTTTCAATTAGATCCTTAGGAAGATGTTAAGCAATATTAGTTTTACGCCTGTTTGAAAGATCATAATAAGACATAAATGCATCGAGCTATTTACAAGAAAAACCAAATTGGTTTATATCAGAATACAAAATTTGGAATCTAGGTTGTTGAGCGAAATTTTTTGCCTTTTGAGTAACCATCATATGGGTTACTGTATTACGTTGATCTCGAGTTTCTTTATCCAAGCTGCCAAACCTTCTTCAAGCTCAGGAAAATTGGCTTTTTTTCTGGGATGTAATTTCTCAATATGCAGAGCAGCTATTATAAGTTGATCTTTAATTTTTCTTCAGTCACGTACTTTCTTGCTGTACCACATATACTTTTAGATTGCTCAAGGTAATGAATGACCATAAGTTTTTCCTTTGCAAACTATTGACGATGAATATGATGTGTAAAACGTAAACATCATGCTGGTTAATTTGCACGAACCATTTTTTTTTTACAAAAATAAATTATTAAAATAACCTTTTTAAATAGTTTTATAATTAAAGAACTTGTGAATGGTAAAAATTTATTCAATTATTAAAAAATTTCTTTTATTAAAATATTTGTTACTGTATACACTGTTACGTACAATTATGAAATAATAAAACAAAAGAATGTTAATCAATTATCATTAGATGGTCTAACACAAATGTAAATATGATCTAAAGTATTTGTCTTTAGCCTAATCTGTGCTTTGTACACTGTTATCGAAACCATATTATTATTAAAATTAGGTGATTTTTAAAATAAAAAAAACGCACAAATATTTTTTTGTTGTTTCAAAATATTTGTCTTGGCCTAAATTGTTGCTTTGCGCACTGTTACTTATAATAATCGAATAATGAAACAAAAAATATGGTTTTATCTATATTTTGGTAGCTTAAAAAAACTAATTAAATATTGACTATTGATATTTGTTAATTACACACTGTTACTTTTAGCGGAATAACTGTTTAACGGAACAAAAAGAGTTTTTTATCTATTTATAATTTGGTTAATTGATGATCCTCCAGTCAACTGAAGAATGATTATAGTAAAATGTGACTCAGATTACTATATAAATTTACTATA